TCCCTTCCCCTCCCCACAACAGACACCCTGTGAGGTGGGTGGGGCTGAGAGAACTCTGACACAAACTGCTCTTTTTCAAGGACAGCTGTGCCAGAGCTTGTGACTGACCCAAGGTCACATCAGCAGGTGCAAGTGGAGGAGTGGGGAATCAAACCCGGTTCTCCCAGATTAGAGTCCGCACACTTAACCACGACACCAAACTTGCTCTCAATTATTAGAGCAAACTAATCGATGCAGAGGCCAAATCGCCGACAAGCCACTGGCTCCCCACACCCCGTGTGAAGTGCCCGATTCAGGTTTCCTTTGGGTATCGATGGCCCCATTTCTACCAGTGACTTCTTAGCTAATCTAGGCCTGATCACTTGCTGCCTATTATACCTACCCCTATTCTAGTCTGCCAATAAGCAACTGACCTGAAGGCTCTTATTTAAAGGATGAGCCAAGTAAAAATGAAGCGCTCCCTGTCGAGTCAGAATAAGACCCAAGGAGACTCAGCCAACTATCACTCCCAGGGCTAGGGGCTTGCCAACTTCCAGGGAAGATAAACACAGAAAAACACCGTGTTGAAATAATAAACACAATATTCACATGTACTTATAGCTAAATATGTTTGCTTTTTATACACAACATCAACTCTAGTGTATTGTAAACACTTTCAAACTACAACATCACATTTCAAACACTTTCAAACTAAGTTATACAACATGAAGAGTCCGTCTTCTTCCTGATGGAGGATAAATACCAATGTACAGTTAAAAAGCAAATATATTTAGCTATAAGTACATGTGAATATTGTGTTTATTATTTCAACACGGTGTTTTCTGTGTTTATCTAACTTAGCCGTGTTCCCTGTGTGCTTGTTGAACTTCCAGGGGAGGCCTGGAGACCTTCCCCTATTACAAATGGTACACAGACCAGTTCCAGTGTTCCCTCTAAGCTGAGTTAGCGTGAGCCAGCTCACGGTTTTTTAGCCACCGGCTCACACCTTTTTGCCTCAGCTTGGGAAGGATGGGGCTCCAGAGCAGACTAATTGATGCAGCGGACAGATCGCCCGCTCACAACTTTAATGCCGGTGACTCACCAAGTAGGATTTTTGCTCACGAGACTCCGCAGCTTAGAGGGAGCATTGATGAGTTTCCCCTGGAGAAAATGGCTGCTTTGGATGGTCCCCTGCGGAGGCCCCGCCCTCCCCAGGTTCCACCCCCCCCACCAAAAATCTTCAGGGACTTCCCAGCCTAGAGCCGGTCACCCTACCCAAGTTGGAAAGAAAGATCCACAGACCGGAATCTTTTTGACGCGCCAGAACTATGTTAACTGCCGGTTTGACCGAAGTCCGGAAGCAATTCTTCTCCAGGCCAGTTTGCCTGGAGATCCTGGAGGTTTTTTGTCATCTTCTGGGCATGGAAGAAGGGTCACTGGGGGTGATGGGTGGGGGGAAGCATTTGCAGATTCCCTGCATTGTGCCGGGGGGCTGGACAAGATGGCCATGGAGGTCCCCTTCCGACTCTAGGATTCGAAGTGGTGGAAATTTCCCCCAGTCTTCGGTGACTGCTTTAGAACTAGCCGACACCCTGCCCTGAGACTTGCCCAACACGATGTTTACACACAGCCTTCCAGGAAGCGGTGTGAGCACATATCCGGAAACACAGGGCTTGTGTACTTAAGTGATGTTGGAGTGACACTGGCTTTCTTTCCAAAAGTTAAACATTGCGACGGGTGCACACTCTGGGTCGAACGGGACAAAGAAGACTGAAAGAAGAGAGCTGTGTATAGACCACACCCTCACCTGGATAGCCCAGGCTGGCCTGATCTCGTCAGATCTCGGAAGCTAAGCGGGGCCGACCCTGGTTAGTACTTGGATGGGGGACCACAAAGGAACAGGGTGTCATTTCCTGCAGGAGCGCACAGGAGCGGAGCTCCGGCAGTAAAGAGCCCAGGGGGCGGGCACATGCAACAAGCCCCACCGCCTGGCTCCCAGAAGCCCTCAGTCAGAGCAAGAAACAGCCAGGTAAGTTGCAGAGCTCCCCCTGGCCCCCGGTCCAAAACAGTCCAGTGGCACCTTTAAGACCAAGTTTTATTCAGGTACCAGCTCTCCCTCCTCTGCGAGGACAGATCTGCACGTTCCCCCCGCCCCCAATAGCTAGGAATCCAAAACAGTCCAGTGGAGCCTGAGCGGTGGGTGTTGCCTTCTGACACACTTCCGGTGATGTCAGGGGGTGTGGCATATGCAAATAAGTTACACTAATGAGTTATGCTAATGAGCTCCTGCCCCTCTTTTTCTACAAAACGATCCCTGGTTGTGATCAATGCTCCCTCTAACCTGTGGCGTCTTGTGAGCAAAAATTCTACTTGGTGAGCGACTAGCATTCAAGTTGAGAGTGAGCGATTCGGCTACTGCATAAATTAGTTTGCTCTGGAGCCGTCCTTCCTGAGCTGAGACAAAAAATGGGTGCGCCGGAGGCTAAAAAACTGTGAGCTAGCTCACACTAACTCGGCTTA